TTTTGGTGCAACGACGCCGTGCGAATGCAGTAAGCGACTCACTTAAAAAATTGATGGGGATGCGGCTTTTCCAATGACCAAGTCTGGATGCAACTATTAATGTTAGCTGCATTGCCGTGTTGCATATGCATACAATTGCAGGCGATCTTTCATTCTTAGACACGACAAACGGCCGCGAGCGTTGGGTCCAAGGGTTGTCTTCACTGTATTTATAACCGGGTTTAGTATTAAATCCTGGACATTCCTATCAGGCCCTTGCGGGTGTGCGAGTAAATCCCGCAAATCACGGCCAAGGAAATTTCCCTGACATTTTCCTGATTTTTCAATTACATTTTGGTATAAAATTCCTTGACAATTGAGGGTATGCCAGATACTTAAAAATACATGATTTAAAATAGTTTTCAGACACCATATTTTGTTCAAAACGTCAAACCCATTCAAGAAAGGAAAGGTGACTTGACGATTTTTCTCCGACATTTTCCGGTTTTCCCGGTATTCCCTGATTGTGGCAACCCTGTCATTAAGGTGGGGGGAACTCCCGAAAACGTTTCTCCGTAATGAGGGGGAGTAACTATGCATACACAACAATAAAATCATCTTGAATGGACAGTGTTAAAGTTGGAGCAGAGCTCTCCGCTCTGATAAAGCGTTGGGTCATCGATACGCTGAATACTCTGCAAGTTCAATCTATGTTTCCTCGGCCATAAACCGGTATCACCCGCTTCGATCGGGCATCGGCGGTATGTCTGGAACAGAAGTCAAAGCCCGCCCGGGGAGGGGGGAGGGGGGATGGGGGAGGGGGCTGCGACCCACTTATGCAGATTAAATGGACATCCTGTGAGCCCACGTTTCGATGACGAGGAAGAAGAGTATCGGCCTCTGCCATCCGCATCCACGACCGCGCGCCGAGTCCGGCCCCGGGGGCCCGCGCTCGAGGAAAAACGTCGTATGAGCCTTTAGACGCTGCCAGATTTCCTTCGCTATAAACCCAATTTACTGGTAAAATTTTGAACATTTTTCTCCGAAACGTTCAGACAATTATGTACGCAATTTGTACCTGAAAATTTCGCTCTTTTTTAAGGTTGAAATTTCTTTTTCTAAAGGAATAAACGAAACGAAATTCCGGAAAAAAAACGACTCATTACGGTAGGTTAAAGGAAACCGTAAAATCGTTTTCTGATATCTAATTTTTTGATAATTTCAAGGACCAGCAACGTTGAGATACTCAAACACTCAATGCATTTCTCGGAAAATTGACAAAATTGCGGGAAAAAAAAAACAAAAAAAAAAAACAAAAAAAAAAAAACAGAAATAGCTCACTTCATCGGTACACTATGCAACCCTGGAATTAAGTTAAGAGGTAAAAAAGCACAGCGCCCTCAGTTGGAGGCGCATGCGACGAATACTGGATGAATTCCATTAAAACGCCTTGATGCAACTATTCGAACTGCACTGATGTCCGTCTTGCATAATCACGGAGTTGAAGGCGTTTTGACGCTCTAGGCACTTAGCGCGGCGGCGGGCAGCCCTGCGAAGATCCACAAAGACAGAACTCCTTGAATACTACGAAAGCATCCCTTTAAGCCACGAATATTCTCTCTTTTAATCATACTCAACACATCGCAATATCAAAACTGAAGCATAAAAGTACGCACATCGTACGGCTGCCCGTTTCTAACCATTCGTGCCTAAGAGATGTTTTTGTAGTATAGACGAAGAATTGAAGGTGCTCTATCATTTGGATCCTCACAGTAAAACCCGCCTCCAGGCCGCGCCGCCGCACGGTGCGGTGTAGCGAGTCAATGGTATAAAGGTCGGACATAGGCCATTTCGGCGAATCCCATGTCTGGCGGCTGAAGGGTGATCCTTAAGGATTTTATTTACAGAATATGGCAGTAACAGCTAACCGAAATTTCAATTCGAGTTCTAACACTACTTTCTTCAGATCATTTTTAGTTCTGGTTTGTGTTCCGAATCGTCAATTCAGTCGCACTAAGAAAATAGGACTACGAATAAAAATCTAAACGGGATGATACAGCGAGGCATTGAAGTGATACTACGAATAAAAATCTAAACAGGATGATACAGCGAGGCATTGAAGTGATAACCATCTAGGTAAAGTTTGGTCTATAAACATTTGTGATCGGGAGATTTCGATGAGCTTTTTAAAAATAAGCATACAGATTTGAGGTGCTTGGAGGACAAGGAGGATAAGTGGAGTTTTTTCAACCTCAAGAAAAACGGGTTTAAAGTTCCAAAATTATATGGAGCCTTACGGCGGAATGAAAGTCCAAACTCATTTTATGATGCTTAAATATCGCAGCGGATTTTTCAAAGAATATATCTCGGGACTAGTTCTAGTTGAAATCATCAATAACTCAATTTTATTAAAAAAAACTGCAGCTATCTCATTTATCTTCTAAGCCCTTCATGTCAAGCTTCTATGAGTAATTCTTCAGGTGAAGTGAGATCGAGTGATTTCTTCTTGTGTCCGCCTTGCAGTTCACCACATGGATAGAAAGTGAATATAGCTCCCATATCAAAACTACCACTAGCGATGGCAAGCAAAATGGACGCAGCAAGGAAAATCAAACCCCCCTCCGCTCTTCCCTACACCACGTTCGCAGGAGGAGGTGTGGAGGAGGGGGAGACCTGGAGAAAAAACCACAACCGTCTCATGCCCCAACCGCGGAACAATGCTCGCGCGAAGGATGTACCCGACTCAAATGCACAATTCATGATGGCTGTTATTCGAGTGACTGACAATGAGTGTGATTTTCACTTTACATTCCACCGGAATTCACTATTACGAAGCCTAGCATTGCGTCTGGGATCAGACACAAGAAGAGCAGATCTGCATCGAGTATCAGTTGGACTTGCGGGGTTTTTACGGAGGACGCCTGCCCGGGGACCTCGCTAAAAATAACTGTAAACGGCCTGGACACTCTGCATGGTTCATCCATGAAAACGAGAGTAAGGCATTTTCACAATTAGAACCAATCTTAGTCCTTGTCTCCACGGGAAGTTTTCATGGGATTTGTCCCAAGTTCGAATCGTAGGAATGAATCTTCTGGGATTTTTTCCAGTTACCGTCTCCACGGGACGGGGCTCATGCAGTCCTGCGACTAGTTTGCGCGGGAAGATAAATTACTTGAAGTCGAGTATTTACCCGGGATTAAAATAATAATTGCACTCAATTGACAATGAGACACATTATTTTAACTAAACAAACATGAACAATGGAGTAATGAATAAAATATCACACAATTCGTTTTCACTTCATCTTCCTCTCTCAGTGGGTCCTAGGGGTACAAGGAACCATACTTGGTACTGGGAAAAATATTGATTAATTCAATATTTTTCCCAACTTCGTTAGTGAGATTTTTCCCAGGGACAAATCCCGTGAAACATCCCGTGGAGACAAGGTCTAACAGCCCTTGGTTGCTGAAGCATTCAAGTGTAAGGGTTCGATTTGAGCTAGGAGCAACTTCTGAGAGGTTCTACTAGATAGAGAACTAAAAAATGGAGCATCTGAATGAGAGAGACAGTTTTCATAGGCAGTACCCACCACCGGACACGAGTAACTCAGATACATGTTTTCCTTCATGTCCTGGGTGGCTACTTGGTTTTCATGTCAGCTATAATTTTGGATGCTATGAATGTATCGATTCCAAAATCGGTTACACGAAACCAGGCGCGAAAGCAAGCCGTTAACAAGTGTGAGGGAAGGTGAAAACCGCATGCATCCCAATTTCCAAGATGATGGACAACAATTTTCCTTCGCAACTCCATAAAAGTCGGAACGAAAATATCTACCCTACACCGGGATATTAAGCATCGAAGATAGAACCCTGGGAACAAGCTGACTAAATTTTCCTAACTTTGATACCTACTACATGCAGATATCAAAGTTACCTGCATGTAGGGTATGAACCCATGTACGGCCACGGATTTCACTGCACGCTTAAGTGAGTGTCACACCTGCTTCCACGCATTCACAGAAAAAAGCGTCTTTCTCAATTAAAGTAAAAGCAAAACGATTAGAACTATATTGGCTTGCAAAAATCCCGCGATTGCTAATTGCCTTCGGCACTTATCTTACTCTATTATATAAAATTTTAAGAGTGACGCGCAACGCATGCCGCCTGAGGCGCGCAGCGCTTTGTGGATTAGACTGTGAGGCGATTAGGGGGCGTGCCCCCCCAGAGCTAATGAAAACACGCAGGTGTGAATTAGGCTGCTTCGACTGACATCGGAACGACAACTGCGTATTCTAAAAACGAGCTGTTTAGATAAATAGGTAGGGGCATACGAGCGAAAAAGAAAATATTTACAGGAGCTAAAGGAAAAGCAGCCGCCGACATGGCGGCCATAGGTTACGCAACTAGTAACGTCAAGAATCCGTCAGTGGCATTGGGTTACATCGCTCGTCGGACTGAAGGAAAAGAGTGATTTTAGAGAAAAAAATGCCAAGCCGCCTGTACTGCCGTGCTAAGGAGAAACGCCGTATGAACCCTCAGACGTTGTCAAATTTCCTCCGATAAAAACCGAATTTACTGAGAAAGTTGTGAATATTTGTTTTCAAAATTTTCACACAATGTTTTACGTAATTTAATCTAAAATATCTGAAAGTTTCAAGGAAAAATATGCACTAAATTCGTCAAAAATACATGTTTTATCGAAGGAAATTTGGCAACTCTCGAATGCTCATACGGCGTTCTTCTTTAGCACGGCAGTGTACTGCCGTGCTCAAACCTCCGTTGAAAATTTGGGGAGTCTTGAACAATCGCGGTAGCTTAAGATGAAGATTCTGCTGGAACCTATCAAAATTGCAAACAAGGTATACTCATACCTGAAAAGTAAAGAAATAGGAAACACGTCATCTGTGCGTTGCAATGGTGTGTAATTTTTTCAACGTGTTTCTTACTGGCAAACGACCCTGTACATTAATAAATCCTTCGGAAGTTAGGAGAGGGGATGAAAATTGAGAAGGAACTTACATGAGATCGGGTCTGAAGTGGTGGATGAGGGCGCAGAAGGCGAGTCCATCGCGCCAGGATGTGGTCATGTTCTCGACTTTGACACCGGAGTAGCCATCGGTCACCCGTTTACACCAAATTTCTAGAGCCTTCGTACCACGACGTTCACCCATTTTCGAAGAACTTCAACTCGCGCACTTCACTTCACTTTAGAACGCACTTCGCAGTCGATGAAACCTCAGAGATCCTGCAACAAAGCAAATAAAAAACCATCAAAAATAACCTAAAAATACTAACCAGTGCCAACCACGGAGAGCAGTCCAGTCGCGTTGTACTAGTGCACCGATGAAGTCACTCTATAAACGGGCCATTCCGAGCCCCTTGTTCGCCGAAAGTGCACACCGTGTGTGAACCAGGCAGCATGTTTTAACACCGCGGCTTGGGAGAATCGCGGGCTGCGAGTGGTTTTCGGAATTTATTCATTTAAATTGATAATTATTCTCACGAATTTTGGCAATTTGCGTTGACCAAAGTCATTAAAAATTCAAAAATGCACGAAACTCCCGGTTTTTATGAAATAAATTTAAGACCAAAACTTTCTTACCGAAGTCTGGGGCTGGGACCCCGCGCATACGGCATTGCCAGTCGCCTCGCACTGGTTACAGGAATGCGGGACAGGGCAGCCTCAAAAAGTGACTTCTTCGGCACTCTATTACATTGCGACTCTTTTGTATTCTATGTTGTTAGCTTTGTAAAATTGATACACTACTCAATGACCTTGAGATTTAGAAAAAAGAGCAGAAAAAACTCAGGGAAGATTCGCTACATTTATGACAATTAAACCAGCATTTTTACCAACTGGATTTTTTTCTCGGGCTCCTTTCCGATTAGAAATATGAAAGATTTTCGGGAATGAACTACGTAAATAACGTGGTAAAAAAAAGTGATGCATGTAAAAATTGTTGGAAAGTCTCCCCAAAATCTAGACTATTCTATATTATGAAACGGAACTTAGGGGGTGTGTATAAGCCAATATAAGCTAATTTTCGGGCACCTCTAAAATTTTCGCCCCCCCCCCCACAGGGGAACTGCTGATGTTCCTCTATTAGGGGAAGATTTCGATTGTTTCGGGGTAGCGAACTCCAAAATCAGCTTACATTGACCCATGAGTGCCCCCAAAAGTATCTTTTCAAAAGATGAAGATGGAAAATATAAAAGGGGTGAGACGTACTTTAGAGACACCATCTGTAAAAAGAGCGGATAAGGGGTACAAAAAGAAGGGAGGGGAGGAATGCGAAAGAAGAACGGTACATACATTAAAGTCATACATACAGGGAATCATCGACTTAAAAGATCAGACAGGAATAACACACAAAAGCTCGGGTATAAGTGGTAAAGTTGGCGTAGGTAGGTACTCGCACGACCTAACGTGACTGGCTTATCAAAATGTTTCTGTAATTAAATGAAATGTGCGCGTAATTAGTGGACGGTGTCCCAGTTTATGGCCCGAATTCAACCACGGGGGCCCTGGGCCCAGTTTCGGATCCTCCGTCCCCGCAGTAAGACTTAATTACCGAATTCTGACATGGTATTGGCTGCAAGAGTGAGGCAATACTTGCGCCAAAGTTTGACTGGTGGTGTCCAAAATAGCGAATCTACATTCACCGAGCAGAGGGCGAGGTTTGCCACATGATAAAAATGTAACGAAGGGCTGAGGAGGGGCTTAGCACCGCGATAGCCGTTTAAAATGGAGGAAAAAATTATATGTACATAAATAAATTAAGAATACAATTGTAATCTTCCGTCGCATTGATGAGGCGCAATTATACAACTATTTGAACTCTCCGGAATGCGTGAGGTATCACGCCGCATTTGAAGGCGTTTTCAAAACAGCCAAGTTCCGATACCCGGATTATCGTTTTGCATGGTTCATATTCTTTTGTTATATTTCGTACCACTTGTTTATTTTTAATCCTCCTATAAAAATTACCCATTTGCTAAATACAATTCTAGCTGCAGCGCACTTCAGCTATGCATTTACCAATGCCAGAGTGTCAAAAGAAATCGACAAGTCCAGCGTGCATGAAGGCTATTTCAATTTGTAATCTTCTGTCACATTCTTACGGCGCAATGATACAACTATTTGAACTCTCCGGAAAGCGTGAGGTATCACACCGCATTTGAAGGCGTTTTCAAAACAGCCAAGTTCCGATACCCGGATTATCGTTTTGCATGGTTCATATTCTTTTGTTATATTTCGTACCACTTGTTTATTTTTAATCCTCCTATAAAAATTACCCATTTGCTAAATACAATAGCTAAAGCGCACTTCAGCTATGCCTTCACCACTGCAAAAATGTCAAAGGAAATCGACAAGCCCAGCGTGCATGAGGGCTATTTCAATTGAGAACACCGCACCAAGAACAGCCTATAACTTGAAACCGCGTTTTGATAAAAACGCATTTAAAGTTTTGTTTTTGATGTACTGCGCAGACTTTTCTATGCAGGTACCCTGTTTTGATGTTTTTGGGTGACCTTCCTCTTCTATTGAAGGATGCCGGGTATATTTTGCGATACATTTTGTGTTTACACTCTAATATATTTAATTTAAAAAAGCGTTTGATACGCCATTATCACACCCAACAGTCATTTTGGTGGCAATATGAAATATAAATCATTTTAATCACGCATGATTAACGCAAAATGAAAGAATATCGATAGTGAGTAAAGAAAGGGGTAACTAGCACCTTATATAGGCCCTCAAGTTTAAAGGCCAGCTTATAGGTCGGTTTTGCAACCATCTATCCAGTGGCCTGACTTAACTCGGAAAAAAAAAGGTTTTTCGACCTCGAGCCGTTACATATCTATATTCTATCGCTACCACAGCATAGTCCAGGGTACGTAGAATCCGAAAAGCAGATGGGCGTAATAACAACCTATACGCCTATAGGCTGTTCTTGGTGCGGTGTCTTTAATTTTGAGATTAATTTAGGAGTAAGAATTTCTAGTCTTTCTTGAGCTTGGTCTTCATGCCATAAAAGGCCGCCTTGAACTACAGGCCCTTTTACCTATTTTTTTAAAAAGAAAAGAAAAAAAATAGAATTCCGTTTTAGAAACTTTCTAAAACGCTGTGCAAATATACAAGAATGAAGCCTCAAAACTAACGCTCGCAATAAGCTCTTTCAACAGTTCAATTTCTACTACCGAAGTACATTTTCGTTTCGTTGGGTTTGAAAGTTCTATCACATGAATCTCAGACTAGAGGCGAACGGCAGTGCTTGCGTGTAGGCTTACAGGTGAATTCGTGAAGGAAAATGAGAGAAATAAATTCTAAAATTGAGCTTAAACTGGTTAAGTATTGACAAGTTGACTGACATTAATAACACATCTTAGAATACAAATTTCAACACAGTATTTGATTTTGTCTTAGAAGTGTTGGGGACCGTTTAGTAGTATTGTGGTGAAGTCGAAATAGGGGCTGGGTTCTCCTCATATCTAGGGAGATCAAAAACAATAACAATGACATTACTTCATTCAATGATGATAATGAGAATGAATCGATACATGCGCTTTTCTGTGACGTAACACTAAAAGAGTCCATCGAAAGTCAGACCGAGGCGAAAAAAAAGGGGGGGAGGGGGAAACACCCCGTCGTGGTGAGGAAGATTACTAGAATTGAGCCTCGATTGGATCAACCCTTATTTTCGATTTTCGATGGTGTTTCATGATGGCTTAAGGCGAGTGCGAAATCTCAACGCGAATCGACGCCGCCGTGAAGCCAAATCGAGAATAATAACTCATGCGCTATGCTGCCGCGTTGAGGAAAAACGCCGAATGACCACTCGAGAGTTGCCAAATTTACTCCGATAAAAAGTTTATTTTGAAAGAAAATGATCGATATTTTCCCTTGAAATTCTTACACTGTTAGGATCAAATTACGAAAAAAAACTCTCATAAAAATCGGAAGACAAATATTCAATAATATTTCCGGAAATTCGTGATTTATCAAAGGAAGTTTGGCAACGCCTAAAGGTTTATACGGCGTTTTGCCTTAGCACGGCGGTATGGGTCGGAACTCGGACACCGAGACGTGTTTGGAATTGTAAACAATCAAGAGAAGACATGGGAGGGAGGGGAGCAACTCGCATAATAATTAATTACAAACAAAATTCAATTAAAGCGACGCAGTTAGGAAGATAAGTGCCTGCGTGGCTTAATGGTTATTGATAAACCGCGCTGCACCCGTCTCGCCGCGCGCCGCGGCCGTCTCAGACGCTGCTGCACTTGACTCACGATTCCCGGTCCGTAGTGCGATGTAGTGGCGTGGCGAGCTTTGCGATGATGCGATGTATCGATTGATCTATCATTTAAACCTATAGAAAAGGATCGATAAAGAGGGTAAACCAAATAATCCATTCTTTACTATCGCTACAAATGGGAGAATATTGATGATTGACCACTCACGCTTCGCCACTGGTGAGGTGGCTGCGATCCAACTTAAAATGGGGAAAAAACAAATTTTCAATATTCTTAAGTTTTAATGGACAAAACTGTGATGAAATGTAGAAAAATAGGAGCATTTCTGATTTTGTTCCGAACGGTAGATACCCTACATAAAACACGAGGCCACCAACTTTTGAATTATTAATTCGAAAACGATAAAATGAATCAATTCAGCCATTTCTTTAGTTTTGATAGCTTTAAGAACGGAGAGCCTTCTTTGAAACTATACACTAGTCTTTCAGAACTGCGTGATTTTAACTCGGTTTTCAATAAAAGTGCCAAATCTGGGAATTCCTTTGTTTTCAGTGTTTCTTTCTAGTTTCGTAACGTCTTCCTGCTTTCTTGAAAACTATCCACATTTAACAGCTTCCGAATATACGTAGCAAGTTGGGTTATTGGTCATGAGTTAGGGAGCGGCAAGGCCTTGTTGAACCAGGCAAGAGCGTTCATTACCCGAATTGACAGTATTCATTGACAATTGCTTTATCATTGTCATATACGAATCGAATCATTTTTAGCTACAATTTCTTTAGATTAAAAGCGTTTTTCTACCACCCGTTATTCTTCCGAAAACTACTTGGTTTTTATGGTTTTTTTTAAAATTCTTTCAAGAGGTTTCTCTCAAACTTTACCCGAGAAACCTACATTATTTTCCTTAAAGGTTGGCTGATGCTGAAAACCGCAGAGTGGCTTGAAAAACCTTGGAAGTTGAAAGGACGAGGAGACAAATGCAGCAGAAGGGCT